GTTGTTTACATTTGCTCTGTCACATGATTTAGACTCATTCACCAAAATACATAAAATTAATATTGCAGCTTGAACTGATTATAACAGCAGCCATAAAGTAATGGTAGTAGTATTAGTCGTAGTAACAGCAGTAGTATAGTATTTATTTCCTCCAGCACAAGCCCCTATTGTCAGTATTTATCCATACAGCTCTAAACCCACAAACTCACATTTACTGCAACAATAACTCACGGTTTAATGATTAGTTTGTGATTTTCTTTCACCCCAAAAAGTGAATTAACAAATGAATGAATGAATGTAGCTTTAGTTACACTCTCAGGGTCCAACATAGACACAAAAAAGACACAAGTTATAAAGACAAACTTGTGTTTAAATTGTATTGTATTTCATTGTTTTGTATTGTATTGTATTGTATCGTATATCAATGCAGCCGAGTGTGAAGCGGCTGGGATGAGAATCAGCACCTCCAAATCCGAGGCCATGGTGCTCGACCAGAAAAAGGTGCCTTGCCCTCTTCAGGTGGGTGGGGAGGTCCTTCCTCAAGTGGAGGAGTTCAAGTCAGTGTTGCCAACTCCTCAGTAAGGAAAGTAGCTATTGGCTGTCCCAAAAGTCGCTAGAAGTCGCTAAATGACGTCATCGCCTAATTTGCATAATTTGCCATTTGCAAATAACTGTAACGGACGCTGTAGGAGAGAGGAATAAGGTCGTGGGAGAGACAAAAGTGAGTAAAAACACCCTAAATATGTTTAGAACTACAAATGTACAAAAATAATTTCAACATTAACAACATTTAATGATTTTAATGCTTTGTCTAGATCCACATTACACACATCAGTTTTGTCCTGTATTGTTAAATGTTATAACAGCAAATGTAATCAAAAGATTGTTATGTAGGGTGAAATTGCTAGCTCTACAACCAACCCTCCTCCTTTATCCGGGCTTGGGACCGGCAAAGTGACCCAAAAGACACACTCTGGCAGAGTTACTTAGGTTTATTTTTTTTCATAGTTTGGCATAACAAATGATTTAATGTGACCCACTACTGAGAGAAAACAGAGTCACGGACAGAGCTGCCGCGGATGGAGTGGGGGGTAGTGGGGGGTGGCGGTGGTAGGAGTGGCCGGGGAGCTTTGGATGTGTGGTGGTGGTGGAGCTGAAGTTCAGTCTGCAGCAGCCTGAAAACTCCCTGTGCTTTTGAGTCTCCTCTCTCTCTGCTCCGCCCATAGACTGTAGCTGGGACTGCTGCGCAAGGCTACTGTGAGACTGGCCGCCTGTAAGTGCTTTGGGACGGGGGAGGGGCTCACGTTGAGGACAGCAGAACAATACGTGCTTCACGAGTCTCCAAAACACCAGATAAGTCAACAAAACACCAGAAAAAGTCGCTAGATTTGTCGCTAGTCGCTTTTTTGAAAAAAAGTCGCTATAGGGGTCTGAAAAGTCGCTAAATCTAGCGACAAAGTCGCTAAGTTGGCAACACTGGTTCAAGTATCTCGGGGTCTTGTTCACGAGTGAGGGAAGAATGGAGCGTGAGATTGACAGGTGGATCGGTGCAGCGTGCGCAGTGATGCGGTCGCTGTATCGGACCGTTGTGGTAAAGAGGGAGCAGCGTCTGCAGTCAGAGCTGTATCAGACCGTTGTGGTAAAGAGGGAGCAGCGTCTGCAGTCAGAGCTGTATCAGACCGTTGTGGTAAAGAGGGAGCAGCGTCTGCAGTCAGAGCTGTATCAGACCGTTGTGGTAAAGAGGGAGCAGCGTCTGCAGTCAGAGCTGTATCAGACCGTTGTGGTAAAAGAGGGAGCAGCGTCTGCAGTCAGAGCTGTATCAGACCGTTGTGGTAAAGAGGGAGCAGCGTCTGCAGTCAGAGCTGTATCAGACCGTTGTGGTAAAGAGGGAGCAGCGTCTGCAGTCAGAGCTGTATCAGACCGTTGTGGTAAAGAGGGAGCAGCGTCTGCAGTCAGAGCTGTATCAGACCGTTGTGGTGAAGAGGGAGCAGCGTCTGCAGTCAGAGCTGTATCGGACCGTTGTGGTAAAGAGGGAGCAGCGTCTGCAGTCAGAGCTGTATAGGACCGTTGTGGTGAAGAGGGAGCAGCGTCTGCAGTCAGAGCTCTGTCAGACCGTTGTGGTAAAGAGGGAGCTGAGCCGAATGGCAAAGCTCTCGATTTACCGGTCAATCTTCGTTCCCTCCCTCACCTATGGTCATGAGCTTTGGGTAATGACCGAAAGAACGAGATCGCGGATACAAGCGGTCGAAATGAGCTTCCTCCACAGAGTGGCTGCTCCCTTAGAGATAGGGTGAGGAGCTCAGTCACACGGGAGGAGCTCGGAGTAGAGCCGCTGCTCCCTTAGAGATAGGGTGAGGAGCTCGGTCACACGGGAGGAGCTCGGAGTAGAGCCGCTGCTTCTCCACGTCGAGAGGAACCAGTTGAGGTGGCTCGGGCATCTGTTCAGGATGCCTCCTGGACGCCTTCCTGGGGAGGTGTTCCGGGCACGTCCCACCGGGAGGAGGCCCCGGGGAAGACCCAGGACACGCTGGAGGGACTATGGCTGTGTCCAAAACGCTAGGCATCGGGCCGCGTAGGGTGGATACGTAGGCACAGAGGGAAGACCGCGTAGGCACAGGCGAGGTAGGAGGCGAGGTAGGAGGTGAGACGTGAGGTGGATTTGGACAGCAGCTGCCTTCTGCCTTCGTCACGTGACTACACAACTCAGAGCGGAGCGGAAGGACACGGCGGCCATGATGGACGGTAAAAAGTTCTAAATACGCTTTAATTAGGACATAAAAGTTAATTCTAATATCATTTGAGGCGAGAAATATCCCCCTTTATTGTCATATCAGGGGTCTGTTTGGAGATAAATTCGAAAATTTTCGGACTTTACCTCCAGCCTGAAGCTCCGGTGCTATAAGCTAACAGCCCAGTTAGCTGCAGTGCTGAAGCCCAGAACAGGCTGTCTAAACACGGGTTCACGTAATGAGAGCCCCCTGGATGTTTACAATCGTATTCTGAAAAAACAGATGCTTTTGTTGTTACACTTTCTCTGTTATAACAATTGTATTGGCAGTAATCATTAGTTTTTACAAAGTTATATTTTATGTAAACAATGCACATATATGCAATAAATGAGTATTAGATATGGATTATATATTTGCTATGGCCCTCGTTTGTCTATCACTTAAAAGTAATTTTATCAGAACTAAATGTATTAACGTGTGTTTGCTGATGAGAGAGAAACATCCATTTATCTATAATAATAACTGACACATCCATTTATCTATAATAATAACTGGAACATCAATTTATCTATAATAATAATAACTGGAACATCCATCCAACATTATTAGATCTATAATAATAACTGACACATCCATGGATCTATAATAATAACTGACACATCCATGGATCTATAATAATAACTGACACATCCATGGATCTATAATAATAACTGACACATCCATGGATCTATAATAATAACTGACACATCCATGGATCTATAATAATAACTGACACATCCATGATCTATAATAATAACTGACACATCCATGGATCTATAATAATAACTGACACATCCATGGATCTATAATAATAACTGACACATCCATGGATCTATAATAATAACTGACACATCCATGGATCTATAATAATAACTGACACATCCATGGATCTATAATAATAATGACACATCCATAGATCTATAATAATAACTGACACATCCATGGATCTATAATAATAACTGACACATCCATGGATCTATAATAATAACTGACACATCCATGGATCTATAATAATAACTGACACATCCATGGATCTATAATAATAACTGACACATCCATGGATCTATAATAATAACTGACACATCCATGGAAACATTAACAGACATCTGTAAAATGAAGTTGAACACAGATGTTTGACACTGCTCTTATTCACTTTTATATCTCTTGAAAAGCTAACAGACCGTTACTAATCACATTTGAGTTTAATGTATTCAATTATAAGTATAAGTACTGCTGACAAATATGTAGTTGTGTAAATAATACCTCACTTTGATGACTCTTTACATTTCACACAAACAACAAAATCATAATAAAACCAACAAGTTTGATTTTAGTTTTCTTTATTTCCAGGTTCTCTGAAGTGCTGTCGATGAGACCTGTGTCAGAGGCAGACGCCCAGGACTCTGCTGCTGCTCCTGCTGCTGCTCCTGCTGCTGTTGCTCCTGCTGCTGCTGTTACTGCTGTTACTCCTCCTGCTGCTGCTGTTACTGCTGTTACTCCTCCTGTTACTCCTGCTGCTGCTGCTCCTGCTGCTGTTGCTCCTGCTGCTGCTGTTACTGCTGTTACTCCTCCTGCTGCTGCTGTTACTGCTGTTACTCCTCCTGTTACTCCTGCTGCTGCTGCTCCTGCTGCTGTTGCTCCTTCTGCTGCTGCTGTTACTCCTCCTGTTGCTCCTTCTGCTGCTGCTGTTACTCCTCCTGTTGCTCCTTCTGCTGCTGCTGTTACTCCTCCTGTTGCTCCTTCTGCTGCTGCTGTTACTCCTCCTGTTGCTCCTTCTGCTGCTGCTGTTACTCCTCCTGTTGCTCCTTCTGCTGCTGCTGTTACTCCTCCTGTTGCTCCTTCTGCTGCTGCTGTTACTCCTCCTGTTGCTCCTTCTGCTGCTGCTGTTACTCCTCCTGTTGCTCCTTCTGCTGCTGCTGTTACTCCTCCTGTTGCTCCTTCTGCTGCTGCTGTTACTCCTCCTGTTGCTCCTTCTGCTGCTGCTGTTACTCCTCCTGTTGCTCCTTCTGCTGCTGCTGTTACTCCTCCTGTTGCTCCTTCTGCTGCTGCTGTTACTCCTCCTGTTGCTCCTTCTGCTGCAGCTGTTACTCCTCCTGTTGCTCCTTCTGCTGCTGTTGCTCCTCCTGTTGCTCCTTCTGCTACATGTCTTCAGAGATGCAGAGCCCACTGTTCTAACTATTCATGACTGCTGATTAAAGGAAAATATTATATACAAGTTTGTTGTAGTTCATAATGTTTTCAGCAGTGAAGCAGGAGGTGAAGCAGGAGGTGATGGAGGTGAAGCAGGAGGTGATGGAGGTGAAGCAGGAGGTGATGGAGGTGAAGCAGGAGGTGATGGAGGTGAAGCAGGAGGTGATGGAGGTGAAGCAGGACGTGAAGCTGGAGAAATTATGACCTTAATTTCACCACAAGTCTCTGAAAAAGAAGAACACAAACATGCATTAAAACACAGCCCACATTTAGGATTCTTTTTACACTTCATATTCAACTAATACTATTTATTTGGGGCTTTGCAAAAAACTGGTTAAAAATAAAATACAGAAATCCTTACAGTATTTAATATTAGAGATACAAGCTTCACAGCGGGAAACAGAAGAATGATATGATAGAAATATACACAAATAATCAAGTTATGAGCATGGCTAACCACTTTAAACCTGTGTTTGTGGAAGTGGGACTTTGTCCTCTGCAAATGTCTTATTCATGACAAACCAAACCTCTGTATAATGTGTGTTTACTATTTATTAGACTATTGTATGAAAAGGGCTTTATAATTATTCTTGGCCTATTCTATAATTCCATATGTCTAATATATACAGTTTTCCCAGTCTCAGTATGGGATTAAAAACGATATGCACAATCTATTTTATATGAATACAGAAAACATGTGTTAGCATACTATAGCTGCTGTGCTGCAGAGTGATTTTCCATGAAAACGTGACTTTCCTCAGTGTAGCTTTAATATTTAATCAGTGGGTTTGTTTCTCCCTAAAAGATAAACACAACATGATTTTTCTTGTTCAAAAACCGAATCTGAATGAACTAGCCTCGTAGCATTAGCTTTTCGGGACTGAGCTTATTTACAGCAGATAACAAGGTTAAATACACACATCTGTGGCAGATCTAACTTATGTCTGTGTTTTATCATAACAGTCGTGTTCATAACTCAACAGTAAAGTATAGCAGTACTTACTATAGACATAACTTCACAGTAAAGTATAGCAGTGCTTACCATAATGTTAGCTCCAGCAGCTCCGAGCTGTTGTTTACATGTTAATGCCGAACGGAGTTCTGCGCATGCGCGGCCGTGACTTGGCAAAAAGAAGGCAACGAAGCATACATCAGATGCATCCTTCATATCTGCTCCAAAAGTGGCCGTTTCCATAGAGACGAAGTCATGATGCCTACGCTTGGCGAGCTCGCCAAGTGGTTTTGGACACCCCTGCAATAGCCGTCGCTTGAGGAAGTGACGTCACAATGCCTACATATCCACCCTACGCGGCCCGATGCCTAGCGTTTTGGACACAGCCTATGTCTCTCAGCTGGCCTGGGAACGCCTTGGGGTCCCCCCGGACGAGCTGGAGGAGGTGTGTGTGGATAGGGAAGTCTGGGCGTCTCTGCTTAGACTGCTGCCCCCGCAACCCGGCAACGGATGAAGCGGAAGAAAATGGATGGATGTATATCAATCAGTGCCATAAACATTTCATTGCCACCTGTTCCTTCGTCCAAAGAAGCGGTGCACGTGTGTGGCCTGTGTCAACATCTCACTCTCTCTGGTCCAGCTCCGTCTCCCTGCAGGACTTGGAGAGCGTCATTATAATCCATGGTCGGCACTAGATCATATACGGAATCGGGACGAAACCGGAAGTAACAATCCTACTTTCAAATTAATTTTAGACAAATTCGTCCTTAAATGGTGACTGGTTAAGATTTAGGTGTTTAAGTAAGATGGTTAAGTTTAGGGTTAAGGCTGGGTTGGGGTTATTTTATGGGAATGGCTGGTTAAGTTTAGGCATGAATAGGTAGTTTGTTATATTTACTTCCGCTTCCGTATATGATCTTGTGCTGACCCATAATCCACCTGCAGCTTTTCCATACTTCCTGTTCTGTAATTGGACCAGAGCCGAGCCGTGTAAAGTCTTTGACCCGGTCTGTACAGGATCTAAATCTGCGGACCTGTGAATTTGCTGATTTCTCTCCGTAGTATTGCTCCATCACTGATCGTCTTTCATAATCCGTGTCAGAGACGATCGCAGCAGGGATTCACAAACCTATTATTATCGAAGTGTCAAAACTTACACAACAACAAAAGGCTGGAGCACAATTCTTCACACCCACAACGTTTCCTCTTCTTCACTTGGCCGATAATTGAATGTATTCCACAAATAGGAAGTTATTTTTAAATGGGCTGACAGAATTATACATATACTGTATTTTCCAAGACGCTGTTGTTATTTATTTCTGCTACAACTGAAAATAAACCAATTTGTCAATGGATTTATGGATAAGGACAAATACATGAGAACTGATTGGCTGAGGGAGCGTGGGCCTTTATCCACTTTTCTGTCTGAAAAATCTGATTTGAAGACGTGACAAAAACTTGTAAAAACTAGTGAAAGGCCCAGTTTTTTTTTTTTTTTAATAACTGTGATTGGACTGTTTTACAAAGTTAGATCCTCCAGCTTTTAGTAAAACAATAAGAAGCATGTTGCGTGAGTAATTGACATACGATATAATTATTAATGGCCTTACCTGCTGTGAAAGCCAGATCGCATCAGACCACTGAAGCTAAGCAGAGAAGGGCCTGGTTAGTGCTGTGATGGTAGACCTCTGGGAACAGCAGGTGCCACAGTGGGGTGGCTGCAGCTGTAAAGTGCCTGTGGTTCTGTCCTTAGGCAAGACACTTCCCCCACATTAGAATGAGTCTGTGTGTGAATGGTTGGTGGTGGTACACATGGTCTCTCCTCCTGGTTTCAAGTCCTTTTTTCTTTTTAGTTCTGTTAAACGTGCCCTGAAACTGTCAAGACACCTTCAACTCGACCACAAACACAAGACCAAAATTTTATGTGTCAAAGATGGGGGTGGCAGTATCATGGAGCTGCTTTTCTTCAGCAGGGACAGGGAAGAGGTGATGGGAAAGAGCACAGAGGACGTTATCAGATATTATCATTAACAAAAGCTGGGATCACATGTAGTATTATGTAACAACACATTCGGTCACTTTTCAGCTTTGATTTTTGGTTATTTATTTGTATCTACAACATTTTTCAGATTATTTTAGTTTTACCATAATAAAATCTTTCATTCCAAAAGTCTAGACACTTTCACAAGTTCGGCTCAAACTCCTGCTTTTACAGAAGATAATACTGTACATCCATGAGCTGCAGAAGGAACAGAGGTGAATGAGTACGAAACAAATGGAATTATGCAACACGTCTCCTGAACTCTCTGAGGCCGCTCTCTGAAAAGTGTCATAGACCTCAAAGTCTGAGTCACCTAGAGTCTGTGAGACCGTGGACCTAGAGTCTGCAGACCGTGGACCTAGAGTCTGCAGACCGTGGACCTAGAGTCTGTAGACCGTGGACCGTGGACCTAGAGTCTGCAGACCGTGGACCGTGGACCTGCTCTGACGCCGTCTCCTCTCGGCGTTCGTCACACTCCCACAGACGGTGAATGGAGATGACTAAATCTTCCTTTGACAATGTAAAGACTTCAGTTAACGATGACTAATGCACCGAGGACACGCCAGAGTCGAGACTTTTAAGACTAAAGATCAAATCCAGTTTTTAAGACTCGATCAGATCCAGTCTTTTGGGTGAAATAACTGTGGAACTTGTCATTTCTCATGTGAAACTAACAATGTCACATGAGCTACAACCATCGCAGACTTTTATACTTTTATTGTGTGAGTAAAGCCTCTAAAGGATCGGGTTTTATGCAATCAACACATAATAAAAGCAGGAAAGCACTCGCAGAGCACAAACCTCCACCAAGAGGCGCAGTTCCATTTAAAAAGCTTAACCAAAAAGCACTGAAATGTGAATGAAACGTAATAAACTACCTCACAAATAGACAAACCCAGGTGATTACATTATCATTGCCAGAGGTAGTGTGTAGATACACACAGATGCAGCCGATTCCAGATTTAAGATTCAAGGATTTTTTTGCCATTTGCAGTAAAACCACTTTGGAAAAACTGTGCAAGACTATCCCAGAATGCTCCAGGAGATAGAACACGCTGCCATTTTTCCAGCAAAAATTACTACTTTAAATGCAAAGAGGTTGTATTTTAAAAAAACTAAATATTATATAATACTGTAGAAACCTTTTCACCAATAAACTCTGAGACAATATTGAACAAATGAATGAATCATAATTTTATTAATCTCAGAGTCGAGGAAATTCATTCATAAAAGTTACAGAAAGACACGAATAAAACAGAAATGTATCTGCAGAGGCCGGATCTGACGCACAACAGCAACATAGGCTCCAACACACACACAAACACACACACACACACACACAAACACACATGCATCAACACAAACACATGCACACACACACACACACACACACACATACACACACATTAAGCAGAAACACAGGCTCAACTTTTCACACAGCCTCATACACGCCACACACACACACACACACATGCATAAACACAAACACACACACACACACGCACACACAAACTCACACATGCACAAGGTCAATACAGGCTCAAATTTTCACTCTTAAAACACAGCCTCACACACACACACACACACAGCCTCACACACACACACACAGCCTCACACACACACACACACACACACACACACACAGCCTCACACACACACACACACACACACACACACACACACACACACACACTCACACACACACACACACACACACACACACACAGCCTCACACGCACACACACACACACACACACACACACACCATATACAGTATCTTCCTGTGCCCCCCTCAAGGCCCACCCCCCCACTTAGAGAAACCCTGGATGAGAGTAAGAACGCACCCAGAGCGACAGATGGAGACGTGAGAAAGAGACTGTGGCAGAAAACCTTTTCATCCGATTCCATTTGACTGAAAGAATGGAACTAAAAAAGGTCTCGTTATGATTTATCTGTCGATGAAGCCTAATCAGACAGATCAGCTAGAAAAGCTCAGTGCTGCATAAAGGACCTTAAAATGTGGATGACTCTTAACTTCCTACTTCTCAACCCGGAGAAGACAGAAGTGATCCTACTCGGTCCGAAGCGCCTGCGTGACTCCCTCACTAACCAGATGGTTACTCTCGATAATGTCAGTATAATACCCAGTAACACTGTGAGGAATCTTGGAGTCATTTTTGACCAAGAACTCTCCTTCAAGGCTTATATAAGCCAAGCAACTAAAACGGCGTACTTCCACTTACGGAACATCGCTAAAATTAGGAATTTCCTTCCTAAAAGTGACGCGGAAAAACTCATTCACGCGTTTGTCACCTCAAGGCTCGACTATTGTAACGCTTTACTGGCAGCGTGCCCTAAAGCCTTTGTGAAGAGCTACCAGCTCGTTCAGAATACAGCAGCTAGGATCTTAACAGGTACCAAAAGGAGGGAGCACATAACTCCGGTGTTAAAATCACTCCACTGGCTCCCTGTGGAGTACAGAATAAAGTTTAAAATCCTACTCTTAACATATAAAGCCATAAATGGCTTGGCTCCTTCTTATCTCCAAGACACGTTAGTGTCGTATCAACCAGGTCGAGCGTTGCGCTCACAAAACGCCAGACGTCTGGTGGTCCCTAAGGTCTCAAAGGTCACTGTTGGTGGCAGAGCATTTAGCTACCAAGCTCCTTTACTGTGGAATCAGCTTCATTTATGTTAAGGAAGCAGATACGGTCTCCACATTCAAGGCCAGGCTTAAAGCACTTTACTTTAATTTAGCATATAATTAGGTAATATATAATATGTAGTGTATATATATTATATATATATGCTGTATTATGTTATATATTATGTTATATATTATTCAATAATGTATTGTGTTATGTTGTATATTATGTTATATATTATGCTGTATGTTATTCTTTATTCAAGGCTAGGTTTAAAACAGTCCTCTTTAGTTTAGCATATGGCTAGGAAGGTAAGACTCGGAGAAGGTTAAACTCCTCAGAGTGTTAGTCAAGCTGCATAGGGAGTCAGTTTGCTGGGAGAAGTATGGTAACTTGAGCACTATCCTCTCCTCCTTCCTACTTTATCTGTTTAGCATTTTTAGGATTCTGACTGTAGTTTGTTCATTGCTATTCACCCGTTGTCCCATTGTCTGTTTCATGGTACGATGACGGGATCTCTGAGCCTGGCCTCCTCCATCTACACCTGCGGACTGCCCCGCCCGACCCGCCTGGGAGTGCTTTGGTCCTGCACCGGACCTGTCCACGTTCAGCGTCCACTGGTCCACGTTCTGTAGCTAGCTTAGGTCCTAGATCATTAGTCTGTCCGTCCGGAGGAGCGGATCCCTTTCTCATATGGGTCTCCCTCCCTGTGGGTTTCCCTAGTTCTCCCCAAGGTTTCTCACTTTTTCCCACTGGGTTTTTTAAGAGTTGTTCCTTGTCGATGCAGGAGGGTCTTGTTGGACAGTTAGTGTCCAACAGAAAGGATTGGTGATGATCAGGACACTTTAGCATTCTACAACATGTATGGACATTTTCTTCTGTGTGTGCTTTATATTCTTCATGTGTTTTAACTGTTGATTCTCTGACCTGTGTTGGTGATTTCAATGGTTTTGTTAAGTCCTCTGAGATGACTTCTGTTGTGACCTAGGGCTATACAAGAATACATTGTATTGTATTGTATTGTGTATGATTCTCAAATCATTAACGACAAAACAAGGAATAAAACCAGGATTTCTATCTTTGTGAAAAAGGTGTTGGTTATAGATTTGTTGTTGACAAAACTCTTGTCTATTCAGCTGTTATGGTCCCAGCTGGATTCGTCTGCATATCTGGCAACCTGAGTCAGGGAGAGTGGGAGAGGCTGCAGTACCACTTTTGGCCACATGTTTACAATCTGATTCTTTAAACGTGTACGAAGAGCAACACAGGCATCAATGCACAAACCCAGCGACTAAAACATGATGAGACGTCCCTGAAGTGTTTCCGTGTTTGTTTTGCAGCCATGAGTTTGCAGAAGTCTCTCAAAAGCGCAGCTGCTAAAAGGCCAAGTCAATGGTTCTTTGGTATTTTCCAGATGGGTTTTAGAGAAGCTAATCCTGAATAACTCCCAGAGACAGAGCGAGCCAACAGCACAGACAGTCTGCAACTCGTCTCCGTCTGAAGTTTGTGTTGATTTGACCTCAGCACAAACCGCCGCCGTCGGAATCTGGGGCAAGTAGTGAGATAACAGTGAAGACACAACAATAACAGATAGATAGATAGATAGATAGGTAGGTAGGTAGGTAGGTAGGTAGGTAGGTAGGTAGGTAGGTAGGTAGGTAGGTAGGTAGGTAGGTAGGTAGGTAGGTAGGTAGGGACCAGAGAGGGGGGTCAGAGACGGACCAGAGAAGGGACAAAAGACAGGGCCAGAGACGGGTCCAGAGACAAGGCCAGAGACGGAGCCAGAGGACTGGAACCAATGTGGAGAGCAGCAGTGGATTTTAGCCTCTATTTTGAACACATATTTTAAGCTTAGGTTTATCTCGTTTTTGTTTGTTTGTTTTTTATTACCTTGCCTTTACTCTCTTGCTTTTAATCCAGCGGTCTTTTCTAACCGGGCCATTGAACCTCTATTCCCACTTCCGACAATAACATGTAGATTTTTTATCCCCTTCTAATTAAGTCTCATTATCCAGAGTTAATAATGTGTTGAATTCGAGAACATAAATACAGCCTTTATAACTCTTCACATCCACCAGACATGACCCAGATATTCTTTACAAAGTCTCTTGAACTAAACTCTGTCGACTTTTCTCACTGAAATCGCAGGCTCTCATTGACGTAAACACATTTTTTCTTGTCGGAACATGCATTCAGATCTTTCTCATGTTGTTTCTGAATGCTTTTGAAACGCGCTCACTTCTGTGAAGCCAATGCATATTTATGAGCCTCTAATCCCATTAACCGTGCACCATCTCTGCTTTGCCGGCGCTGTAACAGTAAAGCCGCTTTAGCCTCTTCCCCTTTTGCAAACCTGGTGTTGAGAGCTGGATTTCATGTTGAGGAAGCTTCGTGTTAATGGACAGATATTATTTAATGAAGTGAGTGGTTGTGGGAAAGCATTTTGTTGATGTCATTGCAACCCATTAAATTACCGCTCAGAGCATCTAATTTATGTGTTGGATTTCTGTGAATGAACTGCCTTGAACTGACAAATGTGATGTGGAAATATGTGAAGGGACGTCATTGACTCGCTCAAGACTTTCACCATCGACTCCCACTGACTACTGTCGTTGTGTCCTTGGCAAGACACTTAACCTCTGGGAACACCAGCCACAGTGGGGCGGCTGTAAAGTGCCAAACTGCCGTTGTGTCCTTAGGCAAGACACTTCACCCCCATTGCCTAGAATGAGTCTGGTGTGTGTGTGAGTGGTTGGTGGTGGTGGGAGGGGCCGATGGCACATACTGGTTGCCTCGCTTCTGTCAGTGTGCCCCAGGGCAGCTGTGGCTACAGTAGTAGTTTATCACCACCGTGTATGGAGTGAATGAATAATGACACATGTGAAGCGTCTTTGAGTGTCCAAAAAAGCGCTGTATAAAACCGATGCATTATTATTATTATTATTATTATTGGACATCAGCGACGGACCTGTCATGGTCTGGTTTTATTTTGACAACTTTTTTCTGTATATTTAGTTTTTTAAACTCCACTCAAAAAGTCCTCGTTACGACCGGGATTCGAACCCAGGACCTTCTTGCTGAGAAGCGAGAGTGCTAACCACTCAGCCACCGTTACCTTCATATACGTCTGGGTCTGATCCTAGTGGCTGCAGTTTGAAGTTGAATCCCATCCGACCAATCAGAGAGCGGGGGAGGCGGGTGTTGTAGGTCGGTGTCGGTGACGTCAAGAGTTTGTCCTGAATTTGCTGGTTGTAGTTTGTCGGAGAATGTGATAGTAAAATAATCTGTTCTGGTTCAATCCAAATATCAAGAAACTGAAGCCGGAGCAAGAGGAATGTTTAGTAAATGTTATTGAAGCAAAGATGTTGTGGCTCTACTCCCCACGGGCTCCGTTAGCTGCAAAGGAGATGGCTAAAGCTAGGCTAAATGCTAAAGCTAGGCTAAATGCTAAAGCTAGGCTAAATGCTAAAGCTAGGCTACATGCTAAATGTCACAAACGTCACAGTAAACTCAGATCCAATCGTTCCAATCTGCAAAAGGAGTTAGCCCCTCCCACCTGTTAACGGAGTCAATGGAGACAATACAGACCTTAGTATGAAATGAAATTAATACTATGGTGTGGTAAGACCAGGCTAGCATTTGAGTGTGTAATGTTGTAAAATGGTAAATAGCTGAGGCTCTACTTTAATAGCATCATTAACACCTGGAGACATTTGTGGAAAGAAGGCTAACTTTGTAAATCTGTCCATTTTGCAGTTTATTTGTTGGGATTGGATCTGAATGAAACGGCACCAAGGCGGAACATTGTTAAAAGATTATAATTTTAGTCTCCAGAGATTATGTGTCATCTGAACGTGTTATCTCCCCCAGTCTTCTCTCCCCCAGTCTTCTCTCCCCCAGAGTTATCTCCCCCAGAGTTATCTCCCCCAGTGCTCCTCACTCTTTGTGGGACAGAATTGTTGTGAGTTAAAAGCCACTTGTGACGCAGGAGCTCCATGGGGGGTCACAAGCTCCTCAGACTGGAAGTGGTGGGATGGGTTTTAATCTTGACACACTCTATTTACAGATTTCAAACCAGACATTGTGCGTATGTGGAGATTAAAATAAAATAGATGATGCAAAAATGTGGGCAAAGTGCTGCGTTCTTGGCCCAGGTTTTCCGTTGGCGGCTCGAGCGACAGAGATTCTGGGAAATGCTTCAAAATAGCTTTGTAAGTGGCATTTTACCCATTTACAAAACATAACATTACATCCTGTAATCTTCTCAGTCGATGTATTTGGGAGTGAATAAGAATAAGAGTTTTACAAAGACACACCATGGGCACTGTTGGAACTGTGTCCTGTAATACAAAGAAAACTGCAGCACATGCTGGACTAGCATCACCTGTATCTAAAGAAGAAAACATTTCAGTTTGATAAATACACATTTACTCATGAAGGCATGCAGCAACCATTACTTTCTGCCCTCCTTATAGGCAAAGTGGGTAAAGTGTCTTGCCCAAGGACACAACGACAGCAGTCCTCAGTGGGAGTCTGTGGAGAAGGTCTCGCAGGGCTCAAACCCACGACCTTCAGGCTCAAAGGCCACTGCTCTACCAACTGAACCCCTGTCGGCCCTGACCTGTCATGTCATGCCAATATCTTCCCCTTTAATATTCCATTTCTGGGTTGGGGGGTTGACAATCAGAGCTGCACCCAAATCACCCTGGCCCCTCCCTCGCTGATCTTCCTGCAGGTGGTGGGTTCACGGGAAGATGGCTGCAGCGCCGACAAAGATACGGCCTTGGTGTGTCTTGCCCAGGGACAGCATAGGTTCAGAGACCAATGCTCAACGGAGCCACTACCTGTGTAGGAACTGCCCCAGCTAAACGCAATGGAGGTTCCCCTGGCGACAATAACGTTTTTGAGTTGAGTTTGAATTTTACATATATTTATATGTATTTTATGCTGTTTGCTTTTATTTTGTATCTTTGGCCTGTGTCGCACTTTGGGTAAATGTTGTTGTTGTAAATGTGCTATACAATTAAAGCTGACATTGACATTATAGTCTGATAATTACAGCTTGAAAATATGAAAACTTGTCAAAGGTCCATCCATCCATCTTCTTCCCCTTAATCCATTTCTGGGTTGGGGGGGGGGGGTGGCAGTCAGAGCTGCACCCAGTCCACAGAGCACCAGCCCCTCACTGATCCTCCTGCAGGTGCTGAATCCACAGGAGCTGAGATCTTTCAGCAGGAGCTTCAGGCAGAGTGGGGTTAAGTGTCTTGCCCAAGGACACAACAACAGCAGTCATCAGTGGGAGTCATGAAGTAGGTCTCAGGCTCAAAGGCCAATGCTCCACCAACTGAGCTACTGTCACCCCTACATGACAAAGGTGCAGGACAAAATTAGACTGAAATGCAGCACTACCAAAAATCTAGCCTGGTCTATCTCTGCTCGCCCGGTAGATTAACAAATTCTATATTTATTGTGTGACTAATATTTGAGGTTTTCTCTCTACTTTGGTGACGATTTATCTGATGCAGCCGATTAAAACAAGCAGGTGACAGCAGAGCAAGCTCAGTCTGTGCAGAGTGGACCCTCCTCTAACTACAGATGACACTGTTGTTATTCCAGACTGAAATGTTGGTTATAAAACATTTCATCAAAGTGGGGTCAAAGTCTTCCCTGGACACTCAGAGGTTACGCTCCAGGATTACGAACGTCTGCAGAAAGTCTGGAGGAAACCAGGACACACACATTTATCCAAAACTACAGCAGGACACAAAGAAATAAGGCTCAGACATCAATGTTTCCCCAAACTGTGAACTTTTAGGCAAGTTTATATGTTTAGCACCGTTCATACCCAAGGAAACTGAGAAGGTAATCGTTGCTGTACATCAGGGGTGTCCAGACATTTTAGTAAGAGGCCCACTTTAGTTCACCAGACTAGTCCAGGGGCCGACATTACGGACGGAAAAACTGTCTTGACTGACATTGGGCTGTTCTGAGCTTTAAAATGATCTATAACGGAGCTGAAGTTGGCTGAATGACACATGTTTACCATCCACCACCAGCTACAGTAGCAACATGAACAGAAGTTAGTGACACAATCCAAAACCAGGTCAGCTTTAGAAGGAAGTACAACATATATATTTGCTGAGCTGAAGTTGGATGGATGACACAGTGAACTTGTGAGTATGATTTCAAAGACTATTTCGGGTTAGCATGGCAGAGGGCTACATACAATGTCACTGAGGGCCGTAATTGGCCCCCAGGCCTGAGTTTGGACATGCCTGCTGTAGATACCATCCTCAAACCAATAGATATAAAAGAAGACATTTAATGACACTGAATTATAACAAGATACATAAAGACATAACAGAAAATATCATCCCCTAAAGAGAGAGATGTGTGAGAGAGAGAGGCCCCTGAGGCTCTGGGCCTTAGCATTAGCATTAGCATTAGCTGCTACATGGTACATAGAGAACCAAGAACCCAAACTAGTCCATCCTCTGTATTTACAGGCTCACTCTGAGATTCCAGTGGATTGGTCATGGGGGCGTCAGCCAGGAGCAGGCCAGTCCCCATGGAGAGGGGGGGGGTCATAGAGCTCAGATAAGGGGGAAAATCCACACCAACTAACTCAAAGTGCTGAACAAAAGGTGGTGTGCGACATTTCTCGTTAGATCTCCACTAAAACAATAAAATGTCAAGCAGAGTGCACCCACCCAGTGCATCCGTCCAGTACACAAACACACACAAACACACAACACAGAGGACCAGCAGCCTGCGTCACAGTTCAAGAGCTCATGACACACAACACACACACACACAAACACACACGTCCCACTTTCTCCGTCCTCTGGCTTTGATCTGGTATTGTCTTTGGCTCCTTCACTGCGCCCACATGGAGAGCTCCCTGCTTTGTGTGACTCACGGCTCGGGCCTGATGAGTTTGCAGATGTGGAGTGGCTGTTTGCAGAGGCCACGTGGCGGACCACTCCAGGCCCCACTCACCTCTTTGATGCAATAAAACTACGCCACACATGATGAGACACAGAGATGACGGCAGACCCCATTGTCCCGATGACAACAACAACACAACCCAGTAACATTCATGACATAACAATACCCGGATAGAGATGTTTTATGTTTAAGAGAAAGTTTGACAATCTGTAGTGATCTATATTAGAGATATAATAGAGATATGTGTACACAGCAATTCTGCTCCTCGTGAATCAGAGATGGTCCAGTTAAAGTGAAACAAACCCAACAAGAAAGTGACCTAAAGCTGAGGCATCGAACTACAAACTACATGTAAATCCATTAAACTAGTTTCTCTCAAATCAGTTTGGTGCAATCACTAAAGTAAAGTGCAGGTGGAGGTGGAGGTGGAGGAGGAGGTGGAGGTGCAGGGGGAGGTTGAGGTGGAGGAGGAGATGGAGGTGGAGGTGGAGGAGGAGGTGCAGGAGGAGGTGCAGGTGCAGGTGGAGGTGCAGGTGCCCGTGCAGGTGGAGGTGCAGGTGCAGGTGGAGGTGCAGGTGCCCGTGCAGGTGGAGGTGCAGGTGCAGGTGGAGGGGCAGGTGCAGGTGCCCGTGCAGGTGGAGGTGCAGGTGCAGGTGGAGGTGCAGGTGGAGGTGCAGGTGCAGGTGCCCGTGCAGGTGGAGGTGCAGGTGCTGGTGCAGGTGGAGGTGGGGTTATATTAGAATAGGTAAGTCACCTAAAGTCATTAAAGCAGTCCTTTCTAAACAGGTCCCTTTTCACAAATGAAGGTCCTTCTTCTGCTCAGATCAAACGTTTGAAGCTCGTCTTAAAGGATCCTCTCGAGCCTCGACAGGAAGTGAAGGTGTTCGTCTCCGTGGCTTCTCTACCCACGCTCATGAGTATACAATGTATACTATACATGACAGTGGAACACATCAGCGCCGCCTCCGGAGCCCACACACCGCTTTAACAATGGACTCAGGTTTATAGAGAGACTGTGGAAGACCCCAGACTTTCTCTGTGAGAGGCCTTTTCTACTTATTTCAGTCACAAAACAGACACTCACAATACATACATACAAAACATACACAACATAACACACATAATATAACACTGTGACAAAAACCCAGTACCATGCAATAGAAAAACCAAATACACAAGCTGCAGACGGGATAAATACATATACAGTAAATAATAATAATAATAATAATAATAAATTACGTTCCAAGAGCCATAGGCCCTTCCTCCAGTGGAGGAGTTCAAGTATCTCGGGGTCTCGTTTACGAGTGAGGGAAGGATGGAGCGTGAGATTGACAGGCTGACGCGGTCGCTGTATCAGACCGTTGTGGTGACGAGGGAGCAGCGTCTGCAGTCAGAGCTGTATCAGACCGTTGGGGTGACGAGGGGGCAGCGTCTGCAGTCAGAGCTGTATCAGACCGTTGGGGTGACGAGGGGGCAGCGTCTGCAGTCAGAGCTGTATCAGACCGTTGTGGTGACGAGGGGGCAGCGTCTGCAGTCAGAGCTGTATCAGACCGTTGTGGTGACGAGGGAGCAGCGTCTGCAGTCAGAGCTGTATCAGACCGTTGTGGTGACGAGGGGGCAGCGTCTGCAGTCAGAGCTGTATCAGACCGTTGTGGTGACGAGGGAGCAGCGTCTGCAGTCAGAGCTGTATCAGACCGTTGTGGTGACGAGGGAGCAGCGTCTGCAGTCAGAGCTGTATCGGACCGTAGGGGTGACGAGGGAGCAGCGTCTGCAGTCAGAGCTGTATCAGACCGTCGTGGTGAAGAGGGAGCAGCGTCTGCAGTCAGAGCTGTATCAGACCGTCGTGGTGAAGAGGGAGCAGCGTCTGCAGTCAGAGCTGTATCAGACCGTCGTGGTGACGAGGGAGCAGCGTCTGCAGTCAGAGCTCTGTCAGACCGTTGTGGTAAAGAGGGAGCTGAGCCGAAAGGCAAAGCTCTCGATTTACCGGTCAATCTTTGTTCCCTCCCTCACCTATGGTCATGAGCTTTGGGTAATGACCGAAAGAACAAGATCGCGGATACAAGCGGTCGAAATGAGCTTCCTCCACAGAGTGGCTGCTCCCTTAGAGATAGGGTGAGGAGCTAAGTCACACGGGAGGAGCTCGGAGTAGAACCGCTGCTTCTCCACGTTGAGAGGAACCAGTTGAGGTGGCTCATCTGTTCCAGATGCCTCCTGGAAGCCTCCCTGGGGAGGTGTTCCAGGCACGTCCCACCGGGAGGAGGCCCCGGGGAAGACCCAGGACTATGTCTCTCTCTGGGAACGCCTCCTTTTGGTCGGTGTTCTTGCTGCAGAGAAACAGTACGTCTCATTTGTATTTATTTTTTTACTTATTTCAAACAAACAAAGGCTTATGGGAGCTTTAAAGACAGTGGCTGCAAGATGGAAGCCCCCTCACTTGCTGTCTCACCGGCCACGTGTTCCGACAAGAACGAGGCCTTTTTGGATCTTAGAGACTGGGAGAAGCAGATATGAAGCTGAAAGCGCAAATTCAGACTGAAAGACCGGCCACGGCTCTCACCCGTCCAGGGCCAGTCAGGGCCTGTCAGGGAGAGCCAATCACACAGCTCTGTCAGCCTCGAGCCTCAGCCAATCACACAGCTCTGCCAGCCTCAAGCCTCAGCCAATCACACAGCTCTGTCAGCCTCGAGCCTCAGCCAATCACACAGCTGTGCCAGCCTCAAGCCTCAGCCAATCACACAGCCCGGCCAGCCTCAAGCCTCAGCCAATCACACAGCCCGGCCACCCTCGAGCCTCAGCCAATCACACAGCTCTGTCAGCCTCGAGCCTCAGCCAATCACACAGCTCTGTCAGCCTCGAGCCTCAGCCAATCACACAGCTCTGTCAGCCTCGAGCCTCAGCCAATCACACAGCTCTGCCAGCCTCAAGCCTCAGCCAATCACACAGCTCTGCCAGCCTCAAGCCTCAGCCAATCACACAGCCCGGCCAGCCTCGAGCCTCAGCCAATCACACAGCTCTGCCAGCCTCGAGCCTCAGCCAATCACACAGCTCTGTCAGCCTCGAGCCTCAGCCAATCACACAGCTCTGCCAGCCTCAAGCCTCAGCCAATCACACAGCTCTGCCAGCCTCAAGCCTCAGCCAATCACACAGCCCGGCCAGCCTCGAGCCTCAGCCAATCACACAGCTCTGCCAGCCTCGAGCCTCAGCCAATCACACAGCCCGGCCAGCCTCGAGCCTCAGCCAATCACACAGCTCTGCCAGCCTCGAGCCTCAGCCAATCACACAGCTCTGTCAGCCTCGAGCCTCAGCCAATCACACAGCTCTGCCAGCCTCAAGCCTCAGCCAATCACACAGCTCTGCCAGCCTCAAGCCTCAGCCAATCACACAGCCCGGCCAGCCTCGAGCCTCAGCCAATCACACAGCTCTGCCAGCCTCGAGCCTCAGCCAATCACACAGCTCTGTCAGCCTCGAGCCTCAGCCAATCACACAGCTCTGCCAGCCTCAAGCCTCAGCCAATCACACAGCCCGGCCAGCCTCAAGCCTCAGCCAATCACACAGCTCTGCCAGCCCCTTGACAACCCACTGACAGCGAAGTTTAAAAGCAGCCACTCCCCGATAAACTGCGCTTCCTGAAGCTCTCAATACCCACCACCTCCCCAGCACCTCCTCAAGCTCCTGGCTCCTGCTCTGGCTCCTGCTCTGGCTCCTGCTCTGGCTCCTGCTCTGGCTCCTGCCCTGGCTCTGGCTCCTGTCCTGGCTCCTGCTTTGGCTCCTGCTCTGGCTCCTGCTCGAGCTCCTGCTTCGTGAGTGTGTTGCTGTGTCATGAGTGTGTTGCTGCCAGATGAGTGTGTTGCTGCCAGATGAGTGTGTTGCTGTATCATGAGTGTGTTGCTGCCAGATGAGTGTGTTGCTGTGTCATGAGTGTGTTGCTGCCAGATGAGTGTGTTGCTGTGTCATGAGTGTGTTGCTGCGTCATGAGTATGTTGCTGTGTCATGAGTGTGTTGCTGTGTCATGAGTGTGTTGCTGTGTCATGAGTGTGTTGCTGCCAGATGAGTGTGTTGCTGCCAGATGAGTGTGTTGCTGTATCATGAGTGTGTTGCTGCCAGATGAGTGTGTTGCTGCCAGATGAGTGTGTTGCTGCCAGATGAGTGTGTTGCTGCCAGATGAGTGTGTTGCTGTGTCATGAGTGTGTTGCTGCCAGATGAGTGTGTTGCTGTGTCATGAGTGTGTTGCTGCGTCATGAGTGTGTTGCTGTGTCATGAGTGTGTTGCTGCTACATGAGTGTGTTGCTGTGTCATGAGTGTGTTGCTGCCAGATGAGTGTGTTGCGTCGTGACCAGAGTTTCCGCAGAAATGTCAGTCTGAGGTAATTACAGAGAAACGAGGCTGAATGTCAGAGAGAGCCGGTGTTCTGCCGAGTTGTGCCGCTCTGCCAAAAAGTGACGCTTATGTAATGCTCAGCTGTTAATGATGTAATGCAAACCTGCACGCATGCGCGTCTCACGGCAGCCGAAACAAACCAAGATGGCGGACAGAAAGTCCGAGAATTGCTTTAAAAGTTATAATACGAACGAAATAAGACACGAATGTCACTTTTAATGCAATTTGAGGCGAGATGTTGATGGTTCCGTGTTGGCACATGTGGGTTTTAAGAGTCAAACTTTCGGGTAAAGTTTAGTTTAAGCAGTCAACTGCACCTATGAAACCACTATGCTTATGTTATGATCAGTGTTGGGTAAGTTACTTTGAAAATGTAATTAGTTACAAATTACTAGTTACTTCTAAAAAAAGTAATTAGTTACATTACTTAGTTACAGCCCCAAGAAAGTAACTAAGTTACATTACTTTTGGATTACTTCGTGTCACAAAAAAGAGAACAGAATCAAGTTTGTATGTTTGCTTTATTAAAGCCATTTAAATAAAGGTCAACAACAAATCAAAACTGGCTCAAATGGCATAACATAAAAATGTAAAATGTTTCTGAAAGACGGCGACTGAGGTTACCTGACAGCGTAATTCAAGTCGAGCTTGCTTATTATATCGTGTTGGTGTTGTGCTGTCGGAGGAGGAGGAGGAGGAGGAGGAGGAGGCGGCGGCGGCTTCGCTGCGACGCTCTTTAGCGACTAGCTTAACAGTTGAGTGTTGACGCTGCAAGTGTTTTAAAAGGTTCGAGGATGAGTTGGCTGCGGTGGACAATCGCTTGCTGCCCGCGCAAAGCTTGCACTCCACGACAACGTTTTTATCTTTTTGACTGATGTAGTTGAAATAGTGTGCATATCTCCACCGGTAAAAAGAACTCTTACTCTTCTCCTCTGACTCTGCCATGTTGCTTTACAAACAATCTCGCTCATGTGCGCAGCGTGACGTAAGCACGCAGGCACGCATGGAGCGGTAGTGCAGTTCTCCCCTGCTTTCCCGAGGCCGGTGCCGCCGGTAACGAAGTATTTAGGTAGTAACTGTAATATAATGAAACGTATTTTCATAATAACGCGTTACACTACTACGTTACTCAAATTGTAATTTCGTTACAGTAACGCGTTACTTAGTAACGCGTTACTTAGTAACGCGTTACACCCAACACTGGTTATGATAGCAGTCCTGGCAGCTGACGTACGTCCTTTTTTGCGCATGCTCAAATCAGACTTGTTTTCTCTTCTACCCGAAGCTGAAAACACACGTGAGTATGGCTCTCCGTTTTCAAATGGCATATATTTCGATTGTTTTAACGTTCTATCAGCGAAAT